AAAAAAAAAAAAAAAAAAAAAATTCAAAGTAGGTATACAATTTTCTACCGAGGTTCTTCTTTCTTTAATCACGCCCGTAGAAATAGACATTTACATACAAAGCCTGCAGTCTAGCAACAGAACGTTGCTTCTGGTAAGGTAAAAATATATAAATTCAAATTGCACACAAAGTAAGTTGTATCACAAGTGGATTAATAAATTAATTAACAGAACATAAAAAGGAATCAGAAAAGAAAAGATACGAGTGATCTTGTATTTCTTAAATTTCGTGGACTTGCTTAGTTTTGTCTAATGCGTGTGAATAAAGTATTTGACTTTAGTCGAATTGCACTACTTGTTGGATATAATGTATAATTCATTCGTTTCGCGATAAATATATAAATCCCTATTTTAGAATTCAACGAATGCATAGATTCAAATTGTTTGAAATTCTGACATTACTCTCGACAGAATATATATTGCAGTGTAAGCTTTTCCCTCGATCGATAATCGGTCACTATCATCGTTATACGATTCGTGTGAAATATTTAGTAACCAATGACAGGTCACGTAACAGGTGAAAAAGATTAGCTTATCTAAAACACTCAGTTCCCTTTTGTTAAAATGAAAAGCAGTTTCGATGAGTTCATGTTCACTGCGACCTTCGGACGATTCCAAGGTCTCGGAATTACGATTAAACAAGGATCGTTTTAAAATAGAATGGAATGCACCGGAAGTGCAAGCTCCGAGTGTATCCTGTAAATAATGTGCAAAAACAACCTGACGTAGGTGTAGATGTGTCCGTGCAAATGAATCTTTCTTTGCTAAAATAAAGGACGGGCAAAAGTCATTTTTGAAACAGCATCGAACGAAATATGAAAATTAGCAGTCGAGCGTGAAGAAAAGAAAAGGATAAAAGATAAAGAGAGAAAACTTTTTGCATAATTATTCAAATGATTTTTTGCGTGTTAGAGAAAAAGTGAAGTTTGGAATGGACGATATATTTATAATATTTGAAATAGTTGCGGGTGAAAACGTCAGTTTAAAAGTGGAGTAATTTTTCTTATTTATTAAACCGGGTGGAAAAAATGTTAAAGAAACAGAAAAGAATAAAAGAATTACAAAGGCAGTTTCTAAGAAATTCTATTTTTTAGCAACTTTACTCGCACATCATATTTATTTAAGTGATTTTGCAGATCACGAAAGAAGTGCAGTTTAATGGTCAATATTTCTATAATATTTGCAGTCGCTATTAATAATTTTATAATTCCAAACGAAAACATGAGTTAATAATATTGTGAACTATAAATGTGGTCGTGTATTATGTTACAGAAGTACTTGATTTTATTCTTTTTGAAAGAGAATAATAAAAAACTAAATCAAATTAAAAATCGGAAAATTAGATAATACAAGAAGTTTTTATGGCTTCCAATGTCCAATGACTAATTAAGATTACTAAAAATAGTTTTATGGTTGCTAATAAGGACATAAGTTCAAAGGTACAGTTATTTTTTTAACTAAGATTTAATATTAAGATTAATATCTTAATTCTAATTAAGATTTAATATTAGTTACTAAAAATAGTTTTATGGTTGCTAATTATTATGGTTGTAAATTATTATAGTAGTTACTAAAAATAGTTTTATGGTTGCTAATGAGGACATTAGTTCAAAGATACAGCTATTTTTTTCTTATCAATGAGAAAAAAAAATTTTAACTGCCTAGAAGGAA